ACACACTCACTCACTCTGTTTTTTCTCATCAAGAAGGAGAGACAGGTACTTTCCACTTGTGAAAGGTGCGGGGTTAGGGTTAGGCTTATGTTCACCATGCTGCTTTTGCTCTAGAGATACCCTCTTCTCTTGCTTAGCACCCATCACCTAGTGCCCCTTTATGGAACCTTCCATATCTAGACTCTTCTAGGCTAGAGACTTCCAGATCTGTCTTGTACTCAATTGAGCTTTGCTGCCCAATCCCTGACATCTCACTGTCTGTGACATAAGATGAATCAATCAGATGCACTTCAGTGAGAATCTGATCCAATAAAACCCTGTTCCTCACCAATGGCACTGGGTAGGCCTGGTGTAGAGAATGGAACTTGGGTGTTCTCAAACCAAACAAGGAAAAATGCTGAGAGCATGGTATATCCAGGGATGTGCCAAGTTTAGAAGATAGCCAGAGGATTTCTAAGGATCACAGACTCCTTCTTCCACCTTGATGATCTTGACCTCACAGGTCGTCCAGCAAACTGTCTCTCCTTTCCTGCCAGCTGAGACCTGGTTGTATCTTTGCCCTCTCTGGCAAGTGATACCCAGCTGTATTCTTGTCCCTCTGGGAACTGAGATCTGGATATAGCTTTTGGCCTAAGCCCCTCTTCTCTGGATGTTGCTTCCTCATTCTCTGAGTGTTTTCGGTAGATCTCAAGGCTTTTCTTGTGTGAGTTAAAACGTGCCCACAATAAAGACTTATTACTCCCTTCCCCCTTTTTTTTTTAAATTTCAAGCATCACTGATGGGTTTGCATCTTAAATGAAAGTCTTAAAACTGTTGTAATCAACTGGGTCACCACATACTTGCCACATGGGAAGACTCCCTTGATATACAGCATACTGAGCTCAATGAACATAAATAGTTGAGGGTTTCTTACAATGAAGTCACTGCCACAATTGGCCCTACACATAGGCAGATTAGGATAATGTCTGATAGCCATGATTTTACAAAAGGCCCCCGACCATAGATATTTCCTCACTGGCTTTGCCTAGATTCCTGAAATTCTCATTCTACCCTTACTTTTGAAGGGTTCGTTTAAGGAGCCATGTACGCTGTCTTTAGGCTAAAGCATTCTGTTCCCTGGAAAGTAACATGAGGCATTAAGTTCTCATAGATCTAGAGCTGGAAGGGACCTTGGAGGTCAGCTTGTCTAATTCTTTCATTTTGCAGATGAGGAAACTGAGGCCCAGAGTAGGTAAGTAACTTGCCCAAAGTCACATGGCTAGTAAATAGTAAAACCAGGATTCAAACCCTGGTCCTCTGACTCTAAATCCAGCATTCTTTGTTATAGAAATTATTTGTATATGCAAGTGTCTGCTTCTAAATTACTTAAGATCCTTAAAAAAGGGGGGGATGGGATGGTATAAGGCTCTGTTTTTAGCCCACCTTCTCTTGTTCTCTGACCTACTTTCCTTAAGGATCCCACCCACTCTTATGGCTTCAATTATCCACCTCTATACAGATGACTCCTTAATCTACATCTCTAACCTCTGAGTTCCAGTTTCATATTTCAAAGGATAATAGGATTTAGAACTGGATGGCATTTGGAGATCACCTAGTCTCTCTCCATCTTATTTTATAGAAAAAGTAACTGAGATCTAGAGAGATCTTGTCCAAGTTCACAGATAGTAGTAGAGATGGGATTCAAACCAGGTCCTCTGATTGCAATTCTATCACCATGTGTCTCAGATACCTCAAAAACAGTGCCCAAAAGTGAGCGCGTTCCCATTTCCCCCAAACCTGCTCCTTCTCCGAATTTCCTATTTCTGTTGATGGCACGACCATCTTTCTCAGGCTTATTATTTGGATCTTTGCCTCTTCCTTCTCCTTGACATCCCATATATAAATCCATTGCCAACTCCAACAATTGTTCCATCTGTGGTATAGTTTCAAGTCTTATCACCATTTTAATCACTACTGCCTGGATCCATTTCATTTTGTTGCTCTCCTACCTAAAATATGGTGCCCAGAAATGAACACAACTCCAGAAGTGGTCTGATTGTGGCAGAGTAGAGCAAGTATATCTTTTCCCTCACTGAAGGCATCACTCTTCTCAATGCAGCCTCAGATAATTTATGGCTCTTCTAGCTGCCATATCAAGATGTGCACTCATGTTAAACTTCTAGTCCACTAAAATAGTCAGATTTTTTTCCACATAAATTTTTGTTTAGTCACATTTCCTCCATCTGTACTCATCTAGCTGATTTTTTAAAAAGTTTGAGACTTTACCTATTATATTCCTTCTTATTAAATACGGTTCTAACTTGTCAAAATGTTTTGGTTCTTGATTTTATCATCCAGCATATTGCCTATGTCCCATGTCCCCTGCCAGATTTGTGCTACCTGAAAACTTGCTAAGCATGCCATTTATTCTTTTAACCAAGTCACTGACTAAAATGTTGAAAAGAACTGTGTCAAAGAAAGAGCTTTGTGGCATTCCAATATAGATCTTCTTCAGAGTTGATATCACTTTCAAAGAAAGAAAGATCAAATGGTATAGTAGTGCTTAAAAGATATTAGAACAAGACAAACATTTCGGATTAATAATTTATAGAAGATTTAAAGAAAAATATGGTCAAGAATTACATAAGATGAAAAAGTGTCCTACCTTGATGTAAGGAGCATGAATACTAGTGAAATCACAGATCTCCCCTACTAGATGGTGGTAAATTTGAGGTGAGGGGAGAGCCCCCGGACTAACTGAATTTGTAAGAACATCTAGCTCAATGCCTTGTATATAGTAGACACACAGTAAGTATTTGAATGAACATCAGATTTTAAAATGAATAGCATTTCAAACTTGGATAACATTTCTAGAAAATTACATACCCAGCTCTTTGGGCAATGATAATCCTGAATTCCTACCCCTATAATCCTTTAGTCTCTACTGATTAATCCATTACCATTCACTGATACCAAGGCAGAAAGGCTCAGAGTGATAGAGGGGGTAACAGAAGGTAGGTCACAGAGGTGAGTTTTACTGAAGGGAGGAAGGGAGAGGGAAAAAAGATCAATAGAAGAGGGTAGTATAACTATGTCAGGTGAGAACTAAGGGCCTGGTTTCTGAAGTTTTCTGAGTCTCCTGGTCTTTACAGGGTCTTAGATGGTTACTTTATGGGCTCCTTCTCAAAAGATTTGATCAAGGGCCACATATTTTCCCTGTATACTCACTTTTGTCATTGGGCAAGTAGCATTCTTCTAGGGACATGAACAAAGGGCTAGGGAAGGGGGATCTAGGTGTGTTCTTTGGAAGGCCATGCCTACTTCATATGGGAGCTGGAGAATCATAGAAAGGAGAGGGAGATAAAACAAAGCACTTTGCAAAATGGAGTACCATATAAATGTAAAGGTATGATTATCTTCACTGTGCAGAGGAAGTTGCAAGATGCTCAATAAATATTTGTTGATTGCATGGTGATCTGCTTATGGATCATGCAGGAAACCCTGGAGGGGAAGAGGGAAATCATTCTGCTTATTACTACACCCTTCCCTCTCTGCTTCTAATCAAGAGTAGAATCAAATTCAGGACCATTCAAGTCCAGTGGGGAGGCTGGCATCAAATGGCTTCTCTATGCAGAACCAATTTGTCACCTCCACTCCTGTCCCTCTCTGTGGTAGTGGGAACTGCAAGAACCTCTGGTGATCCTCCTGAATCCCAATAACCCATCAGTCAGTCCTGATTTCAGAGCATCTCCATTAACTGGCAAAGCTGAGGCCTTGGTACTGATGGGTTTACTCTGTGGAATCAGGACTTTGTGCATAAAAAATTAAATTTCTACATTTAAAGCCATCTGTCACAGGCTATTTATCAGACATGGAAGATGAAGGTTTGCTCCAGCCCCCCTCTTCACCCTATCCAATGCACATGGATTTTGGCAATGACAAGATACATGCATCATTCAAACCGAGCTACTGAGTAATCAGCAGATTGTGTCCAATTCCAAGCCATCCATATCTAGTTGCCATTGTGCTCTGAGATCCCCATTAGTATACAATCTCAGTACGATAAGTTACATTTAAAAATATCATTGAGATTTAAAATCCCTACAGGAGAAGAGGAAAAAAGCTGCTCTGGCAAGGAGTTCCCAGGAGGTGCTTTTTCTGTGCTGACTAGGAAAACAGTTACAATCTCTGTTCGTTCTCTCTCTCTCTCTCTCTCTCTGTCTCTCTCTCTCTCTCTCTCTCTCCCTCCCTCCCTCCCTCTCTCTATTTAGTGTTACCAGAGTGGTTGAGTAAAATTCGGTCCTGCGGTTAATTCAAATGTTTGCAAACAAGCTGCTTTTATATACTTACTCAGTTCACCACTAAATGGGTGCCTAGAAACAGACCTTAAAAACAGCCCCTGCTCTATGACATGGCCTTCCTATAGGGGAGGAGAGAACTCCTTAGACATCTGTCAGGAATATCCCACACTCAATCTAGAGTGGCTGAAAATACTTTTTTTTGTGGGGGAGGAGGAGAGAGCAATTTTAAATGCAACCCTCCCTCCCCCCCAGTAGGGACCTGTTTTTCACCTTTCCTTGTATCTCTAGGGCTTAAGTACAGGGTTTGACACATAGTAGGTACTTAATAAATGCATACTGACTGATTAAATGACTGGATGATGCCTCAACTTAATTTTCAGCTATTAGGTATTACTGCAGTGCTAGTAGTGCTTAGTTTCTGAATGGTGTATAGGTCAGTAGACACATTTCTTATCTGCAGAAGAAACCTGGCATTCGAACTGCCTTGATTAAAAGCTCCTTCTTAAAGTTGTGCCTACCTCTTCACTCTGAGGCCCTTTTTCAATTATATTTACCAAGTCAGTTGGATATATTTGCTTAGGTTGTGTAAATATGCCTTCTCTTATGCGGCATAATCCACAGTCATTCCTTCCAGGCAGCCTGGTATTTAAAAAAGGAGAAAGCAGAGTAATAGAGAGAGGAGTCATTCAGTCCACTGTCTCAATCAGAATATTGACCTACCCTTCGTTCCTTGTCACCATATTCAATGCCCAAGGTGTCCATGGCACGGACAATAGCTGCCAGGGATTGGATAGTGTTGCTATAGACCACAGGCTTATACTGCTTCACATCTTCTCCCGAGAAACCATCTTCATGAATAATCCTAAAAAAAACCACAAAAAACAAATACATCAAATGTTATTCCTCAGTTGAAACAGTATCATAGAATACTAGAATCATAGAGCGAGAAGAGACTTTAGATTGCAGAGGTGTGGTCTGCAAAACACTGGAATATGGCCCAAAACAGATGAAAATATAAGTGGGAAATGTTTAACAAGATAAATAAAAATATAATACAATACAAGATATATAATGTTAATTTATGATTTTCTAAGTTATTATGCAGGCTGCAGGGATCCATTTCTATTTGTGTTTGATACCACTGATCTAGAACATTGACTATAGATGTTGGACGTAGAAGGAGCATAAATTAGAGCATAGAACCAACAATGTCAGAACTGGAAGGGACTTTAGAACATAGAATATTGGAAAGGCCTTAGAACAGAAAATATAGGATGGTGGAGCTGGAAGAGGCCTTAAAACACAGGACGGCAGAGTTGGAAGAGGCCTTAGAACATAGAATGGCAGAGCTGGAAGAGATGTTAGAACACAAAATTTTAAAGCTGGAAGGGGTCTCTGAATCTAACTCCATCATTTTACATAGGAGGAAAAGAAAACCCAAAGAGTTTGGAAGTTATCCCAGGCTCCATGGCTAGTTACCACATCTAACATGAGATGCCCAGTTTGGGGCTTCTATTTACCCTACCATAGTGAATGGTATCAAGCAAAAGAAAATCCTGCTAGCTTAAAGGTAAACTTTCCTGCAGCCAGCCTGTGTCCAAGCTAACATGGATTTTGTATTAATAGTATCTAATCTACCAAGGCCCCTGTAGGGTTTGAGGGTAGAAGTACAAAAATATGTCCCCAGGCCATATTAAGAAGTGGGAGGTGTGACACTTTTTTTTCCTTAAGACCTTAAAGATCTGTCTACCCAGAGGAAAATACCATATGCAAAGGCACCAGGAGGAAAGGAGGCGGGAAGGCTTGGCACCACATTTCACATGTACTCATTTATTCACCGTCAACATCCAAGTATGTTCTACCATCCAAGGAGTTTGCTTCAGAAAATCCACCACCCGCCATGTGCTTTGGTTCTATCAATTTTCTCCTTTTCAGGGTATAAGACTTTCCCCTTCTTGACCACTGCCTCATGGTAGATTTCATAGAAAATACAAATACTAGACAGGACAGGGACTGGGCCTATGATTCCATTGGTATAGGAACTCCCAGTGTAGAAACTCCCTACACTGAAGCAAAATGCAACCTTTTCAGCAATTTCCAGGTCTTATACAGTTGCCTAGGTCACAGCAAAGTAGAGTAAGTCACCCACAGTCAATATGTGTTAAGAGTGGGAGAGGGAGAGGGGGAAATTTTAGTCTTGCTTACTGCAAGGCCAACTTTCATTACACCACGCTGCCTTTCAAAAATTATAAGTTGGCTAAATGAAGGGCCTTTCTTAGGGACAAAGATGCTTTGCTTATTATAGAAGTCTCCGTGATACCCCAGTGAAGGTATATCTCTTCTATAATTAGCAAAGATGTAAGCTTTTTCATATATATATATATATATATATATACACACACACAAATATATACATATAGAGACATACATATATGTATATATCTATGTATATGTACACACATATATATATGTAACACATACATATAAGAAATTTGTATACATATACATGTCATTAATAGTGTTCTGGAAGAGGAGAACAATGAAAAAATACATTAATGAGAGCCATATTTGTAAATTCATTTTGTCAAAAATGAAGAAATTATTTGCTAGCTTAAGCATGACTTTGGGCCTTAATTATAGGGGCTGACTTAAGAAAGTGCTGACTAGGCCTGTATGCCTGCTATACTATGCGAGAAATATGGAAATTCAGAAACACTTTCATTGGTTGATACATTCTAGCTTGTTGATGTGTTTCCTAAAGTGTGGTACCTAGAATAAAATGCAACATTCTCCATGTAATTTGCCCTGATCAGACTATAGTGGGATTTCCATCTCCCCTGTTTTGATCACTAGGCTTCTCTTAATATAGTTTAGGTGATTAATTTTAGTTTTTTTTTTGGGGGGGGAGGGTGTTCCTGCATCACATTGTTGCTGGTATTGACCTTACAACCCTCTAAAACCCTCCCACCTTTTTTTAATGCGAACGATTACCAAGTTCTGCTTCCCCTCTTCTGTACTTGTATAACTGGTTCTTTGAACTCAAGAGAAGGACATCATATTCCTATAGAACGTAAGCTCCTTTAGGGCAGGGGCCATTTTTCAGTTTTGTCTTTATACTGCCAGCATCTGGCACACAGTAGATGCTTAATCAATGTTTGTTGAGTCCAAGTGAATCAGCAGTTTTAACAGAATCAGGACATCTCATTTGAAACAAACCAGTGATTGTCCTAGTGAGTAAAAGGATAAATAAGACCATCAACTGATTTGCTAATTGTTATTTCTGGTTATGGACAGGAGTCTCTTTTTCAGTATTTGGCCAGAACACATAGGTATTCATTTTCTTTCAACTAACTCCATGTTAGGAAAGCAGTTTTTTGGGAGGGAAGGATCCAGATCTGAGAAACAAGAAAATATCTAAGAGGAAACTTCTTCTACCTATACAGATCTGCAATTTATAGTCTTACAGAGATGCCTAAGAGGTAAAATTATTTATCAGGGGTCACAAAGATAGTATGTGTCAGAGGCAGGACTTGAACCCAAGTCTTCTTGACTTCCATGCTGGCTTTCTTTCTTTTTTATTTTTTGGAGGCAATTGGGGTTGGTCACACAGCTAATAAGTGTCTGAGGCCAGATTTGAACTCAGGTCCTCCTGACTTCAGGACCAGTGCTCTATCTACTGTGCCAACCAGCTGCCCTGAGGCTGGTTTTCTATCCAATAATCCAAGCTGCTTCTCTAGGGAACATAGAATTTAGTCTTGCTGAAACCAGCCAATTACTAAACTCTCTTTAGAAAGAGTTGAAAGTGAGTGACCAGAGGGTTTCTATACAACCTCCATGACCCTGGTATCATATCAGGGGGCTCTTCTCCTGGAGTGGGGTGGATATGCTAATCTAGGGGCCAGCTGTTGTGCTTTCAAGTGGGATTTTTAGGTGCATCTTGGAGCATGATTGCTACTCTCTAGGACAGGGCACAGCATTTTTATTTTTTGTTGTAACTGGGCTTGGTGAACATTTAAGTTGTCAATACTAAAAGGGCAGTCAGGAGACTTGCTAGATTGGGTCACTGGTATGCAACTAAAAGGGTTAAGTGCCATAAGATCCTTGGCACATTCAGTGGAACTCAAGTCCACCTTTTAGGAACCACTGGCTGGGATCTGCTGTCTGGGACATCAGCTGCCTCCCTTCCCTGCAATGTCTTTTCCTAGCTATCCTGGTTCTTTCCCTTTTTAAACAACAACAACAAAAACAACAACAGCCAATGTGTACATTTGATCTTTACAGTAACCCTTGGGAGAGTAGGTGGTATTAGTATCTCCATTTTACAGATGAAGAGACTGAAACCAGCATTATTCAGGCTTCTATGCTACCATTTTTCAATCACCCTTGTCTTTCTGAATGTTACTACCTTATGGCTGCACAGCATTTTCTTTAATTCGATTCATCAAATATTTATTAAGCATCAATTGTGTGCAATGCATTGTTATACTTTGCTAAAACGTATTATGACTGTGGATAGAGGACTGGGCTTTCAGGCAAAAAGGACTGAGTTCAAATTTGCCATCAGACACTTAATACTTTTATGATCCTAGGCAAGTCACTTAACCTTTGTCTACCTCAGTTTCCTCAATTGTAAAATGGTGATAATAATAGCATAATAGCACCTATCTCCTAAGGTAATTCTGAGAATCAAATAACATATTATCTTAAAAGTGCTTAGCACAGTGTCTACGCTAAACATCTATAAATTGAGGGAATTAGACTAAATGGTCTATGACATCCTTCCCGGATCTTAAACCTATGACCTATGATTCTGTGTGCCTTAAAGGATCATAGGATTTAGAGATGGACAGTGTCTTCTACCTAGCAACTCATTCAACTTCCTCATTGTGTAGATCTAAAATCCTATGACTATGTTAGGCAGAAAACAACTGCACTTAAAATATCCATAACATTCTTAGCTGGAATGATCTCAATCTCTCACTTATGATATGGTGTCTCAAGGCAAAGAATTTGGTCCCATTGGATTTTTTAAAAGGATAAAATTTTGAAAAAAAAAATTGGGAATCTTTTGAAACTACATTTCAAAACCCTAACCATGTTTCAGAAGAATTTATTTCTAGACCTCTTCAAACTGCCTTATGCCAATTTAAATTTATGTCCCCAATTTCAGTGGAGTTTTATAGGAAGTATATAACTTTTAAAAAATGGCCTCTTTATTTGACCACATGCTATATTCACAATTACTTAAATACAATTCCCTCAGTCTGTAGGGAGGAAAGGAGAAGGTATTTGAATTTTTAATTCTCTCCTTTGACCAAACCTATAATTTCAGGTATTATGTGAGATTGAGGATTAGGTAAATCAAAGGAGTAAAACACAGCAAGATTTTGTATCTGCTCAAACCACTTTAAAAAAAATTTTACTTGGGCATGAGCTCCTTCCCTGGAGCTCTTCTCTCCTCACTTAATACTCAGGTGAGGTGCTGATGCTTTGTATTTGAGACTGGTTCTGATAGCTAGCATTTATATATAGCACTTTAAGGTTTGCAAAGGGCTTTACAAATATCTCATTTAATCCTCAAAACAACTCTGGTAGATAAGTCCTATTATTATCCCCATTTTTACAGATGAGGATGCTGAAGTAGGCAGAGGTCATACAGCTAGCAAGTGTCTGAGGCCAGATCTGAACTCAGTTTTCTGTGACTGTCCAGGGTTCTACCCATTGAACCACTTAGCTGCTTCTTGTTCTTATGTTTTGGGGCAGTGGGTCTATTCTGAGGAGGAATGCTGGGGGAGCTGTGAATTTTTTGACCTCCCTAGTACTCAGGCCCTGCTCTCTGAGTCATAGAGGTGGGAGCCTGGG